TAAGTCTACGCTTAGCATCCAGCTGAGCTTCTGAGCAGCCAATGCGTTCAACTTGCACATCCATATCCCTTGAGAGTACTATGATATCCGAACTGGTAGCAATGCGTAATAGGGCGTTTAAGTCGTGAAAGGTGTCCTTGGCAGCATCACGACTATAGTCCGTAGGAGCATGAGCAGAAACCATAAACAAATAGCGTTTCGTACTACTTCGTGGATCGATCTTGGTCGACGTCGTCAAACGGGCTACCCACAAACGACTGTTCATCGGAATACAATCAATCAACGATGACTCAGCCTTGGAGTTGAAAACAATGCTCACCCAGCTAGACCAGTGATTGCCGCATCAGCGTCTCCGGATGAGTGTAACCAACAGCGACCTAGTCGACTGGATACCAGTGAACAGTCGCATATGTGGGATCCGATTTCGAAACGCTATTGATGTTAACAAGTACCGTCTGAAGACAAGGTGCCATTTATTCGCATCGGATTTTGCCCACACTGAATGCAGTTCGGAGGATATGGTAACCTTCTATCCTCAGCTCATACCCGTATGGCGAAAAGTGTTGATATCGTGATTGCTACTGGTGACATGAATGCCGATTGTGAACAACGCCTGGGAGGCCGCTCCGCGACAGTGCACGTCGAACGGACAATGGCGATCGGTCCCTGTAACTATGCGATGACCACAATCTTTATATTAGCAGCACTGCTTTTCAACACAAACGTTCAGACTGTGTAACCTGGCGCGCACCGAATACCTCGACGACCTGGATCCAAATCGACCATATTGTCATCATGTACAGATAGCACACATCGGTTTAAGTCTGTCGATCAATTTGGAGTACATGTCTGGATTCAGAGCATGTTCGAAGGAGCGTAAGCCTCGCGCTCAATCTTCTCACGACAAAGAAGCGCCTAACTTCCAAGCTTCTCACCTGCAATTTGAACTCGTAGACCGCAGTTCCACAATATCATGATGAACAGGTCCACCGATTGTCAGTAATGGAAGGCTGGTGAGCCGAACGTTGACTAGAATCGTTTCAAACGTGCCAGGCTGAATGATTTATCGCTTGCTGTGCGCCCAACTTGACACGTCCGAACAGTAAATGGATCGCTGAGACATCGAGAATGTTAGTGGGTGGGTGTTAGTGAGACGGAGAAAGCCAGTGCCATTGGGAAGATTGGAAGACTGCTACAGCTTATCCAGAATTCGAGTTAAAGAGAGCTCAAAGTGGGACAATAGCCAAAAAGGATGAACGATTAATCCATTCTCAGCGGCATTGAATAGACCGTTGGGTGGGAGGTTTCGAAGAGCAGTTCAGTAGGCCTATCGCAGCGATGCCGTTTGCTGGATCCCCTGACCCGATGTATCACACTTTCTGATATGAGATAGCCGTGTTAAAATAAAACATGACTCCTGGACCCAACGACCTCACTGAACTATTGCTGAAAAATGGAGGTCACTCTCCATTGACTGGACTTGCTACTTTATTCACTATTCACTATTTGAAACACTTTAGATGTGCATTCAGACAAGTGAGTGCCAACTGTCGTGCTCATCTTCAAAAAGGGTTGACTGATTTTGTGCGAAAAGTTATCGGATCATTAGATTTATTTTCATTACCCTCAAACTTCTGACAAATACCATCCTGAGATGACCTACTGGTCCTCGTGAGAGCCGAATCACTGTAAGTCAGGTTAGCTTACGCCTGAATAGTGGTCGCATCGACCACAAATGTAATCATCGTCAAGTGTTAGATAAGAGACACACAGTCGACCGACTATGGTTGTTTTCGTTAACCTGAAAGCCTCCTTCGGCTCTGCTGATCGTGCTAGCTTGTGACACTACCTATCCGTGAAAGACGTGGCAGCTACTCTTTGTCATTCTGAAATCGCCCTACCATGACTCCCGAGGCCGGTTAAAGATCTACGGGAAGTTGTATGCTGAGTTCACCACAACAAGTGGGGTTCTACAAAATTGCCCTATATTTCCTCTCCTCTCCAACTTTGTCATCGAAATGATCATAAACGACTCCTTTCTTTCTGACTGTCAAGTGACCGACACAAAAAGCGTGAATAGGCGGACGACATAACTCTCCATGGACTTGACGCAGTGGTCATGCAGGCAGTACTAAACAGACTGAGGCGTAAAGCTACACGCTCCGGCACGTACTTTGCATTTTCAAAATGCAGTAGTGCTGCAGGACTGGACCGATGCAGCACCGGTTCCAACTATCAAGGAACAGCCACCAGAAGCGGTGGGTCGGTTCACTTACCTTGGTGGCTGTGTCACGTCCGGTAGTCACAGCACCGAGGAAGTCACCTCGAGTATCAGCAATGCGCGTGTGGCTTTCAAGATGCTCAACCAGGTATGGAGATGGCGAAGTATCAGCCTGTCAGTGAAGGGCAGGGTGTATAATGCTGTGATAAGGTCGGTGTTATTGCATGGGTCTGGCATGTTTGCAGTGAAGACATTAGGTGTTTGACCGTGTTCAATCACCGATACATGTGCATATTTCTCACTTCTGGTGGGAACACTGGCTCAACAATGCTGTGGTGCGCTAGTCGCTTTTTCGCAAGAAGCTCTCTGCGGCCTCACTCGTGTTTGCACGAGCTCAATGGCCTATCTTGACTTGGTCGTCCTCCACACGCCCGTCGGTCGGCTTTCTCGGCGTGCAAGTTGGGCGAAACCGCGAGGTGAGCAATGGATTACGTAACATAAAGGAATGAAAAAAATTGACTGGGAGAGACTGAAGCGTGCCGTCTTCCACACCAGTGGTTAGAGACTGTGTCAGACATGGCGCAGTTCAGCAGCGATCCTACATTTGATTTTTTGGATTTTGCTGTTAAGCTTAATTCTTCGATTCCGATTAGTTCTATGCACTTCTGTCTTTAGTCCATTTTATTTGCATTCAACCTCATTTCCTTACGGTTATTAATTATTCTTATCCGGTGTCTGGATAACAGTTGTGCAACTGAACTGAACCGAAACACAAGTATCCTTAGGATGGCTAGGGGAATTTAACTGCTTATCGACTATCTCAGATGATGCGTTCGTAATCATCGTTGAGAGTGGATGTGTTCCAGAGGGTCTGCACTCCATTTGTCAGTGGAAAACTGGCTAAGGACTGGGGAAATATATCATTGAGTAGGTAGGTCATCAAAAGTAACTAGCGATGCTCAGGATCTGCATAATACCGGATGAAGTAATGTCTCAAAAACTACTGTATTTCATGGCCTCAATTGAGTTTGCTGACTTGCAGCCTTGGATCTATTTGCTATGAGTAGCACTGAAGTCGCCGTGCCGCATAGACATCCAAGAGGCAAAACGAAGTGTGGACAACGATCAAAATCGGTTATTCGTAAAGCAAAGCAGCCTTTATACTGTACATAAATGGGGGGGGGTCGTAATTTGGTTGCGACCGGTTTTTATTGGTCACTTCATATTTCCGCGTCCTCTGCCGTCCATGTTTAATGGTCCGCAAGTTCTGCTCGTTTCGATAGATATCTGCTCCGTCTACTTGCTCCGTCCTGACTAGTGATTGGGCGAGTCAGTTCTCCTTTGTCTGTCTGCAAGGCGTATATGCTTCGTCTGCTCACGGCTGTTCCAGGCAATCCACCATGCTGTTGTTTGTGAGAAAGCTGTGCTTTGTCTCTTCTAAGATGAGCCAGTTTTGATTTCGCGCTCTGGCTCGTCCACGCGTGGTCAGTTAGTGTCGGCAGCGAAAAGTTGGCCTCCTGCCTGTCTTCCCCAACTATCTCCACAGAGAGTACCACTTGGCGTAACGTAATGAACCACCACGTAGATGCGTCAATTGCGGTTGGATTGGATCACTGAAGGCCAACAGTTATGGAAAGATTTATAGCATCATCTAGGACACAATCGGTCGTGACACGTGGTCCTTTTCGATAGCGTGAAAAAAATTGGGGTGAATGTCTGCGTCGCGATGGTTGGAGCAGTACCCAATCGATATTGCTATCTGGCACTACGATACCTCGCGGCTAGTCATCGCTATGTGTTCTATCGGGCTAGATGTACCATGACGGTTCTGTTTCGAAGTTAGTAATCGCTTCAAACAATTAAGTAGAGTTCATAAGTCGAAGTACTTATAGGACCAGTGGCGTAGGCGCAGAATCCGGCTCTCCAATGCATCCAGAGGAATTATCACATGTGTGCTAATCGGTTGCTAATGCAGAGGGCACGCTTCTCATGCGGTTGCTGGATAAAAACTGTAGTTAGCTGTCCATCTGACAATACATAAGGGCCAGGTTGCGCCACAATCCTCATGAACAATGAGGAGTCCAGTGAAACGTCTGTCACGTTTCATAAGTAGGTAGGGTAGTGCAGGGGCAGGATCGTCAACGCAATGGTGTTCTGCTATACCACACCAGTGCCAATTCATGTCGGATCTAATGAAGGTAGTGAGCCGTGGCTTGAGCATCACAATTCGATTATGCTGAATAAACAAGAAAAGAAAGGCATCAGCAGTACACCGGTACACAGTACCGACGCTTCGCTGCACCGAAACTACCACCGGTCGCAAGTGGGCTAAGGATACAGCGACGGTCGCCCTGCCCCTACGCAGATTCGAACCCGTGCCGTCAGATTACAAGATAAGCTCGTTATCTTTAGGCTACGGACCGGTGAACGACGGTCACAAAGCGAAGCGGTTAGAAAGTTTTGTAAAATATCGTACCAAGCGTTTAAACCAATGGCGCCATGGGCCCGTGTTTCCGACGAGTTGAAATAACACGCGACTGTTTCCGGTCTTCAGGGAGCGCCAAACCATATGAGGCCTTCAGTTAAGCTCTCGATAAGCAAGCGCCCTAGAGTGGTGCGGGTATTTGGAAAATGGATACGAAAAAGGGTCGGTTTCCCCCATATCAAGCGACACAACAGGTGTCGAGATTGCAGTCGCCTTTTTGACACCTTAGAGTGATGAATCCATAGCGATAATACGTTTGTGCAAAATCACTAGGTAAGTGCGTAGCGAACTCACGGATTCAGCGGATGAAGAGTCATTGTCTTCGGATTCCGTATCGGATCCAGAAACTTGCACCGGGTCATCATTGACCGGTTTTCGGAGCAGCTTCCGTAGCTGGCTTATTCGCATGTTCAGAAGGCGCTGATGCGCAATAGACGTTTGGGTGCCGCGGACCAAATCGCACAAGCTATCTAAAGAGCATCGGTCCGAATTGGGAAGACGCCACTCCCACCTCAGAAACAATCCGCTCCAGAGACTGCAGCGCAAAATAAATATGAAAATTATCATTTGTCTCGAAATAAAATGTTCCCAAATCACAGTACAGTGAGAGAAAGTGTGGACAAAACTAGAGGACTGGATAAACGAAAGGCAGCCATTGATAGAAGGTGAAGTGGGGTCATACTCACTGAAACAGCTGGGGAGAGAGGAGAAAAGCGGGAAGCATATCAACGGTATGTTGAGTCTGATCTATTGTGTCGTCAAAGGTGGATAGTTCGATCCCGTTGGGAACTGAGTCTTCAATTCGATCATCGTTGTGTACTAAGTAGGAAGAGTGAGCGGCCATATTCCAATGCTCGGCGTGTTTGTAGAACGGATTGAGAAATTCGCCCCGTCGGCTATGTACAAGGGGCCAAATCGAGTAGGTCGTTTGGGGAATGCTGGAAAGAAATAGCGACAGCGTGATAACACAAAGCGTTCGCTTGCTGTGATTGACGACAATGAAATTTGTGCCCAAGGATAGTAGTAAAGCAGAAGGAATAGCAAGCACAGAAATAAGAGATCGGCAAAGTGAACATGCTTTGATGATGTCCCGACCAACAGTACTCTCTATCATCAAAGGAGTGCACAGGTTGTGGAAAAAGTGTAATTGTGTAGTCCCAAGGTGCTTTGCTCAAAGCCGCCGGCATATCATAGGCTAGATTCGCATTGCAGCCCGTTGAAATCAATATCTGTCCATTTGACAGTTAACAAAGGTCAGGTGGTGCCACAATAACGATGAACAGTGAACAGCCAACTGAAACGATTGCCACGTCTAGCAAGGCGACATCAGGTATGCCATTCTAGCAAATTTGTCGGGTATCCGGACGCGATGCGTGAAAAAGAGGCGAAAACGAAAAACTTAATGAAAAAGCGAGTACGCACACGAATGAGTGTCTTACAAATGTATCTCACCGCAACAAAAAACCAAAAACGTAGACAGCATTCCACCGCAATCCAAGATTAAATGTTTTCCTAGTTTCTTATGGTGGTGATGCAGGGAGATTCGGTTGTCGTAACGCTGCACTCCCTCTGCTCTCTGCCACTGCCAACCCAACCGGGGACAAAACAGAATACCGAAGCCTGCTAGGCCGAAGTGCATTAGGCATTGAACATGGTTCATTTTATAGGTCACAATCTATCATCTCCCGTTGTAGGTACCTGAGCTGACTCAAGCCACTTGTCCTGGACAGATTCCAAACCTGCTTCCAGTTCGCACTGGCCACCTGCTGTCGCGCCCTGTCCCGTAGCAACCTGTTTCATGCTGATGCTTTGATTTCATCAGCTTTTCACGTGACAGCCGTCACCGCAGCTCGGGTAGAAACCCGTGTGATGATGACGAAGTGATTACGTCAGCTTCCGGTGTGACTCAGCTCTGCTACCGCCGGTTAGATAGCAACCCGTATCCCAATAATAGTTGTCTCGAAACCGTGTCACTTTCTTACACAGGGGCCTCCGATTAATGGTTTTTAAGCCAAACAAAGTAGACAATGTCTATCCATGAGCGTGCTTGAGTGGAGCTCATTCACCAGTAGGTGGGGAGGGGGGGTTGTGACGATGTGAATGCGATGTGAAAATGTCTTGTAAATTGAAAGTTATAGAAAATGGGGTGCTGAAACCCTGTGGACATATGTTGATAGATAGGATTGGTGGCGATGCGTCAATTGTTGCGCAGGTTGCTTGTGCAATAAGCATACTTGGTCATCGTGAGCTAATTCTAAGCTATCCATCAGGGATTCGAAATATTCTGGATCAATGTTTGCGTTAAGTACACTGTTCTCGTTCTGCAAAACCGACTCATTGAGAGAAATCAGAGGGTTTAAGGGTGACGAGAGCACTAGTGTGGGGTGGATTGGACCAAATAACACCCACCGACACACAGATGCAAGTGCAACTCGCGAAGTCCGTGAAAGTGAATTTATCTAAGAGGAGATAATAAATTAAAACTAGAAAACAGATCAGAAGTGATCGATGGACTATCGCCGGCATGTCCCTCAACGAGTCGTTGTGATAGAGGGCCAGGGCAAACACAGAATCTGAACGAATCGATTTTGAGCACATAAGTCTGGGTTCTGGCGGCGGATAGCAATTGCCTCAGCTGTTGCTAGTAAGCGACATTTTACCGCACGTGAAAGACGTCCAGGTACACGGTAAATGGGTTGGAAAGATTGGCGGGTGTCGATTTGGTGATTAGAATCAACCAAGTGTGCCAACACGGCGCTCATCACAGTTTTTCTCCCACCATTGCGCAGGTTAGCTGGACAATGCTCGCGTATTCTCTCAGACAGCCTCCTAGTAGTTCTTCCGATGTATCTTGCTCGACATGAACAAGGGAAGGAATATACACAATATGAAGTACATGACCAAGGAAGTCTGTCTTTGAGGTGGGGCCTCGCAATTGGTGTTGAAGTAAAACTTAGCCGCAAGCTCGCTGCGTAGTACGTATGGCTCATAGCGTGGGATAATCTTCTAGATGCTGTCTGCGCTATACCACCCCCCTTGAACGGCAACGACAAATAAACCGGTTTCTTTTCTACCGAAGCTGGTTTAGTTCTCGTTTCTCTGCATTCCATATATTTCAGAACAAACTTTTCTGGATAGCCGTTTCTCCCGAAAACGCCACTTAAGAAACTGAGCTCGTCCGCAAGTGTGTCCTCACTACAAATCATTCTGGCCCTTTCGGTTAGACATCTAATCAAGTTGCGTTTCTGATTTATTGGGACAAAACTGGCAAAATGTACATATTGTCCGTTCTATGTTGCTTTTCTATGTACCCTCCGTCGTACTGATCCATCTGGTCTCCTAAGATGAACGTCTAGGAAGGACATCGTGTCACTGCCTTCAGTTTCTAGAGTGAACTTGGCATCAGGGTGCGCTGAGTTAAAATAGGATAAAATTGTCTCTGGGCAACAATGTCTGTCTGTCACGCAAAATATATCATCCACATATCGTCCGTAGTATGGCAGGCTAGTAATGACTCCGCTCAGATAAGTATTCTCTAATTTGCTCATGAACACATCAGCCAGTAGCGATCCAAGCGGTGAGCCCATTGCTACTCCATCTTTTTGTCTGTATATGGCCCCGTTAAACTGAAATTGTATGTTACTAGTACACAGCAGGAGTAGCTGTTTCAATCGATCAATTGAAAGGCCGAAACCCAGTTGATGATCTCGAACGGTGTTACATATATAGTCTATTGTCTCTTCTAACGGAATATTGGTGAAAAGCGACACCACATCCAATGAAAACATCTTTCTTCCGGTTAGCTGAAGCTGTCTTATGGAGTCTAAGAAACTGAATGTGTCTCGTAGGCTGTACCTGGAAATAGTATTTCTCACCGGCTCTAGAAGCTTAGCTAACCACTTGGCTGTTCCGTGATACGGTGAACTGCACATGTCCAGTATAGGCCTTAGTGGATGTCCTTTTTTATGCACCTTCGGTAAGCCGTAGAGTCTCGGGATCACTGTCCCTGTGGGACGAATGTATTCGAACGTGGCAGAGTCAATCATGTCTTCCTGTTTCAAGCGCTGTAAAAGCTTAGTGACTGTCTTTTCTATCGCTGCACATTCAAAAGTTCGGCGTTTTGCATCATCAAGTTCAGAAAGAGAAACAAAACAAAGCTTTAAGCGAACAAGGTTTCGAATAATTCCTCGTCAGGCTCATACAATAATATACATTAAGGTAAGGTTTGTTGCAATAGTCAGCAAAACCAAGAAACAATTGAGCATGATGGCAGTCATCGGATCACATGACTGAAGCCAGGTGGAGTTGCGGAGTGCCATCACTTCCTTCCAGTCTGGTGGTCGGCCAAGAAAGCTGTAGTGTTTGTATCATGTTCAGGGTTTGTCAAGCGTATGCATATTGCCTCAGCTTCTACCGACAACTGACCCAGCTCCTTCGCCACAGAAAAAGAACGGACACTGTTGTGCTGGCGGAGGATATGAACGCACAAGTTGGAAGGTTGTCCACTGATGAAATGCGTCTGGGCGGTCAACATGGTGTAGGCTCCCGTAACGATAATGGTGAGCGGTTACTTCATTTGTGTGAAGATGCTGGCTTATTTCTTGCGAGCACTAATTTCTGACACAGCACCCGCCGGAGGGTGACTTGGCGCCCACCAGCCTCGAACCAGACTTGGACACAGATCGATCACATTGCTATCAGTTACCGCTGGAGAGGCTGCATCCAGAATTGTCGCTCGATTTGGAGCACAGGTGTGGACACCGATCATGCACTTGTATGTGCTGACATGCGGATGTGCTTTGGCGGACGCCCAAGACGATGTTGTGAGCGCATTGACACCGGCCAACTGACAAAGCCACCTGTTTTGAATGCGTATCGAAGTACGCTGACATGCGAGTTGAGTAATCGCTCACTGGAGACAATTGATGGTCACTGGTCACATGTTCGCCAAGCCTTACTAGCAGCAGGCAAATCCTCATGTGGTATGTCTAATAGCCAACATGGACATTGGGTCTCTTCTCAGTCTCTGGAACTTATCGATGCTCGCCGGCATATCCCGGCTGGAAGTGAACACAATGAAACTCGCAAAGAGCTCCGGGCAAAACTCCGTGTTAGCCTGAAGAAAGACCGCGAAAATTGGTGGTCTCATCGTGCGTCAGAGATGAAAGTGGCCGCTGTCCTTGGCAACCATCGTAAGTTATTCCGTCTGATACGGGATACGGGCAGCAGGAGACCTGGCGTTAGTGAAACAATTTGTGATGAGAGTGGACAACCTATCCACAATTTGTCAAAACGTCTGGAGCGTTGGGCTGAGCATTTTGAAAAGCAATTTAATCGGCTAGAATTGTTCGATTCGCCGGTCACTGATCGCCCTGATCCGTGGGCTGTCCCTTTGGATCCACCCTCTCGCTCAGAAGTCGAACGTGAGATCGGACGGTTGAAGTTGAACAAAGCCGCGGGACCAGGTGATCTTCCTCCAGCCCTCTTCAAATTCGGAGGCTCTGCTCTTGTTGATGCTTTACATGAATTACTAGTGAAACTGTGGGAGCAGGAAACTGTCCCAACCGACTGGAGCCGCTCCGTTATTGTTCCCATCTTCAAAGGAGGCTCGCGCTCGGAATGGGGCAACCATAGAGGAATCAGTCTGATCTCCATCGCCTCCAAATTACTCGCGTCCATAATTCTTCACAGACTGACTGGAGCTCGTGAAAGTCAGATTCGTGAGGGGCAAGCCGGGTTTCGTCGTGGTCGTGGCTGCATCGACCACATCTTCACCTTGCGTCAGTTGTTGGAGCACCGTCACACATATTGGCGGCCCACCGTTGTCGTGTTCCTCGACATCAAAGGTGCCTTCGATTCGTTTGATCGATGTGCCCTTTGGAATTGTCTACTCAGGAAAGGTGTGCCCGAGAAATATGTAAATATTATCCAAGCATTATATGCGCGTAGCACGGGCAGAGTGAGGGCTTACGGCAAGCTGTCACCGTCCTTCAATATCTCCAGCGGTGTAAGACAAGGATGCCCGCTGTCACCTTTCTCCTTCAACTTCGCTATTGACGAAGTCATGGAGATTGCATTTACAGGACATGACTTGGAAGGTGTGGAGCTACTAAAAGGAGAAGGACTTCTTGACTTGGAGTATGCAGACGACATTGCCCTCATCTGTGACAGCTCACAGACGTGCCAAGCCGCTCTGGACAGATTAGCACTGGCTGTCAGTCGCTTCGGGCTT